AAAATGGATATTTATTGAATATTCAATATTCGGTTACACAAAATTCATGGATAGTTGAGGGTTTGTAATTGATAATTTATTCATAAATATTTGCGTGAATATTTGTTGTGAATATTCATGGTTACAATAATAGATGGGTATCTGTTCAAAATCCGGATATTCATTCAATGCTATTCGTAAACATTAAAACCCGCGAATATTTACTGAATAGCCATGATGGATATTCAAAGGATCCAACCTCTACTTCATACAATATTGATCAACGAGTTCTAGTATGATATAGATGGTCAGGTTAGTATGGTATAGTTTTTAAAATAGGTATTTACATATAATTTGGTCATTAAACTATCCCAGATCTTCTGTAATTTCTAAAATACTTATTTTGAAGACGAGGTTAATTTTAGGAGATAATAAATTTAAAAATTTTAAATCGGTTTTTTTCTTATATAATCTTTATTTTATTGTAATTTTTTTTAAGAATTAGATATACTTATCTATATTTTAATTAAAGTGATTGTCTAGATATACGTACTTACAGTACAGGGCTCATTAAAAATATGCTTACAAAAATCATGTGCGTGATTCTCAAAATTCGTGCGCCTGCCATACTAGTTCTAATAACAATAGACATGTTTGAATATTTGTTTAGAGGTAACTTTTATGTAATAAAACGAGCAATAAATTAATAATTTGGAGTTTATAATAATAATGGGTAATAATAATAATTATTATTATGTAGTAATATTATTTTCAGCATTATTAATTAGCAAGCTAGCAGTATTATATCAGGGTTATTGTACGATTTCTGAAAGCTATTTTCCCGAAAGAACATAATATCGGCTAATTATTTCCTTTTCGGAAAATGGTCTTTGAGAATTTGAGTTACATAATTGTATTAGTATTAAAACAATATATTAATTAGCAATTCGCAATATTGCATCAATATCAATAAAAATGAACTCAAAACTTTCAAATGTTTGGACACGACCAGGGCGGCCTCCGATTTTACGGGTCATGTGGGTAACGCCACCCTGCATTGTATATTGTGCATATTGAATATTGGTAGCGCCACACACATGACCCGTAAAATCGGAGGCCGCCCTGGTCGTGTTAAATGCTTGTGTCAATTATTTTTTAAACAAAAGTAAAAAATCGCGGCCCAGAATATAGTTAAGGAGTTTTGCAACGGAGTTGAATATATTTTAAGGTGGCGTGATCTAGTTTATCCAATTAAAGATGAGATTTCAATTTTTTGGACACGTTATTTCTACTCGAATCACGTTTTTGTTATTTCAAAAAGTATATTCCCTGTTGTTGTGTTACAATTATCACATGAAAATTAGCCAGGATCATATGTATCAAAACAAACCATATAAAATCGGATTTGATTTTACCCTTGTTAACTTGACACACGTTTTATTTTTCTTCATAACTCGTAACACTGCACGCAACTGAGTTCGTTTGTCTTCTCCACTCCGGGCTTTGCTCCTTGGAAACCTACTTTGGAAGAGGTTGTTGAAAATTCGGAAGAGCAAGAAGCTTCTAATAAAGCTAGTAGTCTTCTGAAAGCAAAGAAGATTAGTTTATTGTAAAAATCAGAGATATAAACAACATTTCAAATGCATTTGAACATTGCACTCAATGCGTCTGAGAGGGGTGGAGAAAAAAGTTGTTGCAAATATGTTCACATCTAGCTATTTTGATCTGATTTTATTATGGGTAGTTCTCACAAATATTATTTATTTATTTATATTCTTTTACATAGACTGACATTAAAAATTTAAATAAGATCTGTGGAATATGAGACAGGTCGAATTGTTGACAATAGAAAAGGCAAAGAAGTAGTCACTTCTCCAGCATCTCCAAAGAATAAAAGAATAAGAAAAGGAAATATGGGGAATACAGTGCCAAGGCAGGAATTACTACGTAAGATTAATTTAGCTTTAAATCATAGGGTTGGATATTTTGTTTATCATCATGTTTACCATTCATTCTCTATATTTTGTAGATTTAATAACATTCTATCTTGCGATTTAATGCCACCCTTTGCTCCATCAAATCACTCGTTCTGAAGTATATAAAAGTGTAAGCTTCAGGCAAGTTACGGCGGAAGAATCGAGATAGATTAAAAATTATTTGGATGCAAGATATGTTTCTGCGTCAGAAGCATACTGGAGATTATTTGATTTTAATTTGCAATTATCTAGAAAAAACGTCAAATAAGTTTAAATATTGCAAGTTTTTTTAATCGTACGTATAATGCCAATTCCATTGCTAGGCTCACTAGAGCACAAATTCAATGTATTATTAGTAACTTTCCTTCTAGTTAATAATATAATATCGGGTTGTAATATTTGTAATTATGATAATTTTATAAATAAACAAATATTAACCGTCTGATGAATATTAAAAAATAAAATTTGCGAAATATTTAAAAAATTTCGTTTTTTTAGTTGTATTTTTTTTTTATGTAAATCGAATATATACGCACGCATAATTTACAAATTCTTATCGCATAAATTCTGTGTTCCTGACTCTAACTAAGAATAAAAAAAAAAGTTGATCATGTATATTATTTATAAGGCCACACAAACTTATACTATTGGTTCTTATAACCCGGCCGGGTCAAATTCAACAAAAATTTGAAAAAAATTTTTTACTATATTTATTATCCGTGTGGACTTTTTTAAATTTTTGTAAAAAAATTTTATATGTTTTTTACATATAAAATTTTTTGAAAATAAAATTAAAAGCCGGGTCGCCGGGTCACAAAAAGTTACTTGGTGATATGAAAACCAATAGTATAAGTTTGTATGGCCTAATTATATTATATTGCAATTCTTGAATGTGTGCCAAGTCTGGTGGCGCATCAGCCCAAGTAATTTATTTTGCTCCAATTAAAAATTCCAATTATAATGATAAATTAAGTACAAGTTTTAATAGAACAAAAATACCATTTTCTAACATTATTTCTGCTCAAATTATGTTCTTTTATTTTCAAAAAGTATATCTCCCTTCATTTCTCTATAACCTTTTTAGCTTCCAATATTATTGTTTGAATTCAAAGAGATACTCGTATTCTTTTTTATAAATTATAATTTCCAAAATTTTTACTTGTCAAAGTTCTTAATATAATATGCGTATAAGAAAATATTGGCTAAAAGTATGGCAATAAGCACAAATATGTTAATCAATAAACTGTACTATATAGATTATAAAAAAAAATTTTTAAATCAAAAAAGCTCATAATCTACGCTAAATCGTTCTTTAAAAAATGATAATGGTAATATTCCTTTTAAGGGGTTTCACTTTTAACCTGGAATTTAATAAGAAGTACACGATAGTAATTTTCATTCAAACAAAACATTTTACGAATGTACTGAAAATCATTGTGGCTGATTAATGCGCCATCAACCTGGAACACATTTAAGAATTGCTTTGGTCAATAATTATTCATATTGTAATTTTTACCTAATCATAAAAATTTTTATATTCTAAATCTAATTTTAACCCTAGTCCTAATTCTGCAAAAATAATTTACAAATTTCTCATATACTGTACACCGAGTCGACCTTGATAAATGAAAATTCGACTTGTATTCTGAGTAAGGCCGTTCTCAAGCACCCCACTCAATGGATCAGATGTAAAATTTTAATTAGTCAGAAATTAAATAAATCAATCAAGTGAGTTATCAACAAATCAACTTGATACAAACCACCTTTTTTCTCCAAAAATTTACTATTGATAAAGATCGCTCAAGTACTACTTTTACATTTTAACAATAAACACTGAATTCACAACAAAATTCACAACAAATTTTTAACCAGTCTAAAAAAAATAGCCACTTTATTTTTAATGTTCGAAGCTTTTAAAACAAATAATTGACACCTGTAATTAATACAACCCATTTAGCCAAGCTGTAATGAATAATGCTATTCCATTTTTCGCTCATATAAACTTAAATTTTTTTTTTTACTTCTTGTTACTGCAAAGTAACTTTTGCTAATGATTCCATAAGTTGTTGCTATTGCAACAAAAGGTTAATATTGGTAAAATCATTAAATGGAGAAGCCGACGTAATCAAAGCTGAAGATTCGGCAGTCGGTTGAACAGAATTTTTTTATTGGATTTTTTTTGACGTTTTAGATAGTATAATGAAGATCATGAAAAATAGAAAAAGAGTATACTCAAGCATTTAATTCTATAAATATTGCCATTGATTGAGCATCATCACGATAATTCTTTAATCAATTGATTTAAATGATTAAGGCAAATTTTCTATAGTATCTATCACAGCTTTTTTCTATTTTTGCATCAATCATATATTTTAAGTATGGGTTTTTCTAGGCATCTCTGGTCAGAGGTATATAACTTATATATCTCTGGCCTCTTTGGCCAATCAAAGAACGCGGAAATCACATGACTAAGGTTCATG